AGGCTGATTCCCAGCACCCTCCACATGCTGCATTTTCATCAGGAGACCTTAAAAGCTTTCAAATATACTGCGCATTAGAGCTCACAATTTATACCAATACTATATTACCGACATACATTTTACCGACATGTTCAAAGTATACATACAATATGTGTGATAATAAAAAAAGTCCATATTGTATACACGAAGATACTTTTTCTCTTGGCACAAGGTTGACATAATGAGCCCCCCCCCCCCCCCCCAAAAAAGCAGCTTGAGTTCATTTCTTAAAGGACGAATTCAACAGAGAAATTAATCATGATCACTATCCTCTTAGTATCCCAGAGTAGAAACACACACAGTGCCACGGGTTAGCTTGGTTTCAGATAGGTATTTTGTCTAGTTAAGTTATTTTTGTATTGAGTCTATTTCTGTATCCAGTCAGAGTCCTATTCTAATCCAGTCATGTGTAATAATGGCCAGTTGCTTTCCTTGTGTCTTGCATGCAGAACGCTTTGTCCAGAGGACACACTCTTACATTGCATTGAGACAGCTAGCTTAGACTCCCAGGGTAGATTCCATGTCAGATAGTCTACATACATCATGGTTATATCATTTGTAACCATGTCTTCACACTATGGGTGCTATAGTAAGGTCTACTGGCGCTCTCTCTTGGAAGTCTTATGTTCCACATAGGTATGAAGAGGATTAAGGAAAACAGGTCGACAGTAACTCACCTCACCTCTGTGTCTTCACGTGTCTGCCACAGGGTGGCGCCAGAGAGTACTATCTCATCTGATGCTACTGCCTTGTTTCCCAGTTGAGATGTAACTAGAGCTTTACGATGATCGTTTTTATGACCGCTTCCCAAACATGCGCTTAGAGAGAACGTTCTCAGTGCGTCGTTAGACCATGTGTCGATACTGATAGGATCACAAGAAAAGCAGCGCTGCTCTCGGATCAGGTTTCTCCATTCACATCATACTTTTACATTATAATTATTCCACAATACTGACAACGGATCGGCTCCTAGAGAGATATTACCACCCATGGCTGCAAATAGGCTTTTTATTGAACATGAAAATTGATTTCAATATGAATAAAATAGCTTATATAGGCCCATGTAGCCTATGTATCTTTTCATGTAGTAATCTCGGTTTTCATTTAAAGCATAATTGAATCCTTGACTTGTTTGTAACAATTGCAAATAGTTTGGCAACTTTCTATTTGTAGTCAACTTGGTTTTGAAGTTATAGGCAGTCACAGTCAGACAGATATCCTGACATCTTGATTCTATGTTTAGAGGAGATCGTCTATGAATAAAGTGAGGCGGAAGGGCGAAATAGCATCTAACGATGTACTTTGGCCGCTCTACGAGTGGTCTGGACTCGTAGATGTGCGAAGGTTTTTAGGAGCCACGTTACTAACGAAGGCTCTAGGAAACACCTGGCATCGATCCCACTACAGTAAAGACTGAAAACCCCTCCCTGGTATGGATCCCACTAAAGTACAGACAAGGCTGATAGGTAGAGTCACAATCAATTAGGTATAGGACCACAGGTGAGCTCCTGTCAGATAGTTAAACTTACACACAACAGATTTACAACATCCCACTGTTCCCAGGAAAGTAATAAACATATGTATGCTGTGCATGCAAGCATGTGTTCGGAGTGTGTGTGTGTATGGGTTTATGGGTGGGAGGATTATAGGTAGTGATTTGAATTAATCCTCCTATCCACCCTAGTGTAAGTAGATCTACTGTTTGTATCTTGCCTGTAACCTTGAATGTTCCTGCATAACAGTAACGTATAGAACCAATACATACATTTCCTTCTAGGTCCAAATTTGCAGTAATTCATTACAGTAATTCATTACATTAATTCATTTAGCTTGCCTGCCGAATCGGGGCCAGTGGAATAGTCCCAAAAATACAAACCTAGCCCACTTAGCAAGCTTCATCAAGGGCACCTGAAGAAAACAGATACTATACTGAACAAAAGTATAAACGCAACATGTAAAGTGTTGGTCCCATGTTTTATGAGCTGAAATAAAACATTCCAGAAATTTTCCATACACACAAAAAGCTTATTTCTCTCTGCACAAATGTGTTTACATCCCTGTTAGTGAGCATTTCTCCTTTGCTAAAATAATCCATCCACCTGACAGGTGTGGCATATCAAGAAGCTGATTAAACAGCATGATCATTACACAGGTGCACCTTGTGCTGGGGATAATAAAAGGCCACTCTAAAATGTGCAGTTTTGTCACACAACACAATGCCACAGATGTCTCAAGTTTTGAGGGAGCGTGCAATTGGCATAATTGCTGCAGGAATGTCCACCAGAGCTGTTTCCAGATAATTTTATGTTAATTTCTCTACCATAAACTGCCTCACAATTTGGCAGTACGTCCAACCGCAGACCACGTGTAACCACGCCATTCCAAGACCTCCACATCCTTCTTCTTCACCTGCGTGATTGTCTGAGACCAGCCACCCGGACAGCTGATGAAACTGTGGGTTTGCACAAACAAATATTTTCTGTACAAACTGTCAGAAACCGTCTCAGGGAAACTCATCTGTGTGCTCGTCGTCCTCACCAGGGTCTTGACCTGACTGCAGTTCGGCCTCGTAACCGACTTCAGTGGGCACGCTGGAGAAGTGTGCTCTTCAAGAATGAATCCCAGTTTCAACTGTACCGGGCAGATGGCAGACGAGCGTTTTGCTGATGTCAACGTTGTGAACAGAGTGCCCCGTGATGACGGTGGGGTTATGGTATGGGCAGGCATAAGCTACGGACAACGAACACAATTGGATTTTATTGATGGCAATTTGAATGCACAGAGATACCGTGACCATATCCTGAGGCCCATTGTCGTGCCATTCATCCGCCACCATCACCTCATGTTTCAGCACAACAATGCACGGCCCCATGTCGGAAGGATCTGTACACAATTCCTGAAAGCTGAAAATGTCCGAGTTTTTCCATGGCCCGCATACTCACCAGACTGTCACCCATTTAGAATGTTTGGGATGCTCTGGATCGACGTGTACGACAGCGTGTTCCAGTTCCCGCCAAAATCCAGCAACTTCGCACAGCCATTAAGGATGAGTGGGACAACATTCCACAGGCCACAGTCAACAGCCTGATCAACTATGCGAAGGAGATGTGTGGCGCTGCAATGAGGAAAATGGTGGTCACACCAGATACCCAGTCATGTGAAAACCATAGATTAGGGCCTAATTTATTTATTTCAATTGACTGATTTCCTCATACAGTATGAGCTGTAACTCAGTAAAATGTTTGAAATTGTTGCATGTTGCGTTTCTATGTTTGTTCAGTGTAATTGGCCCCAGGTCTGAACCATAGGTACACACGAAACAAGTAGGGTTCAATATAGTGCCAAGTAATGGTTATTTGGCTTGTAACCGTAGTGGACCCCCTATTGGTGCTATATATAACTTTTTTTTTGGAAGGTTCTATAAAGAACCATGCTCATAAGGTTTTAAATGGAACCTGTATGGTGCTATAAAAAAAAAACTTTTCCTAAGGTTCTATAAAGAACCATGCTCATAAGGTTTTAAATGGAACCTGTATGGTGCTATAAAAAAAATACTTTTCCTGAGGTTCTATAGAGAACCATGCTCATAAGGTTTTAAATGGAACCTGTATGGTGCTATAAAAAAAAACTTTTCCTAAGGTTCTATAAAGAACCATGCTCATAAGGTTTTAAATGGAACCTGTATGGTGCTATAAAAAAAATACTTTTCCTGAGGTTCTATAGAGAACCATGCTCATAAGGTTTTAAATGGAACCTGTATGGTGCTATAAAAAAAAACTTTTCCTAAGGTTCTATAAAGAACCATGCTCATAAGGTTTTAAATGGAACCTGTATGGTGCTATAAAAAAAATACTTTTCCTGAGGTTCTATAGAGAACCATGCTCATAAGGTTTTAAATGGAACCTGTATGGTGCTATAAAAAAAAAACTTTTCCTAAGGTTCTATAAAGAACCCTTAATAAAAGGTTTCTACAGTATATACCACCAAAAAATGGTTCCGCTATGGTTACAACTATTTTGGGGGCTTTATAGAACCCTTTTTTATGGTTCTTTATAGAACCTTTATGGAGAATGGTTCTATAAAGAACCTTTGTTAATCTCAAAGATTCTTCGTAGATCCTTTTGAAGAACCATACAGAGTTTTTTATTTATTCCTTAGGTGTAATTATTGTGTCTAACTGACATGCTGAATCGGGTGTGCTATTCTGGAACCACTGGGAGTCTGTGGAGAGAATGGAGAACCACTAATTTAGTCAACTGTTCTCCATTGACACAAGGACATACAGTATGTGAGTATTTCGCAAGACACCATCACTGGTCAACAGATTAGATAAACTGGAATGACACTCACTCATCGCTGCACAAAAAGAGCTGTGAGCAAACCCCAAAATACTCTAATGAGCCACCGCCCCTACATTTAAATTATTACTAAAAGAGGAAAGAACCCTTTTCTGAATTGCAAAGAACCATTAAAGGGCTCAAAGGGTTATTTGAGTCATTATGGTTCCACATAGAATTATCACCCTTCCCAAAGAACCCTTGAGGAACCCACTTTTCTTAGTGTGCAGACCTGGTGTGTGTGGGATCCAGGTAGTCTGACTGTGTGTGTGGGATCCAGGTAGTGTGACTGTGTGGGATCCAGGTAGTCTGACTGTGTGTGTGGGATCCAGGTAGTCTGACTGTGTGTGGGATCCAGGTAGTCTGACTGTGTGTGGGATCCAGGTAGTCTGACTGTGTGGGATCCAGGTAGTCTGACTGTGTGTGGGATCCAGGTAGTCTGACTGTGTGTGTGATCCAGGTAGTCTGACTTTGTGTGGGATCCAGGTAGTCTGACTGTGTGTGTGGGATCCAGGTAGTCTGACTTTGTGTGGGATCCAGGTAGTCTGACTGTGTGTGGGATCCAGGTAGTCTGACTGTGTGTGTGGGATCCATGTAGTCTGACTGTGTGTGTGGGATCCAGGTAGTCTGACTGTGTGTGTGGTCCAGTGGGAGCTTCCAGCCAAGGTGAGGTCTGTTCAGCCGGCCCCTGGTCAGCGCTGGTCAGTACTGGTCAGTAGGCTACATGTAATGAGCTAAGCTCTTGAGCGGTTTTACTCCAGCCAGAATACATTGACACCCAGATCCCCTCACCTTGACAGACAACAGCTTATGGTGACACCAGGAAAAGTTATACTCTACAGAACACAACATCATCGCAGCTCTGCATAAACTCTTCAAATCAAAACCTCTATTTGCACTGAGCAGGTCAACATTGTGGATTTTTCTCTTAAAACTTGATTTAGCCCACTGCAGTAAAAGGTTAAAACTCAACTACTCTCTCACTCTACATTTGAGGCAGTTGTGGGCCTCTTTCTAACACCCTGCTTCCCTCCCCTTCCCCCTGTAGTACTCCTCTGCAGTTCTGTAGCTCATCAGCTGGTCCAGGATGTCGTTCATGATGAAGGCCATGTTGGGGAGTAAGTTGAAGGATATGACGGGAGGAGGAGGAGGAGGAGAGGCCGAGGTCCCTGCGAGAGATGGGAAGGAGACCCCTGAGTCTAAAGGAATGTCCAGAGAGGAGTTCGAGGAGTACCAGAAACAGCTTATAGAGGAGAAGTGAGTAACCAATCAATCAATTGATCAACTGATCAAGTTCTATTTGCATAGTGCTTTGAACAAATTCATAATAAATGAATTACCCTGTAACCCTAGCTAAAAACCCCAAAGAGCAAAGTGTACCTACGTGTCTTTATAACTGAACCTAAATCCAGAATTAGGCTGGTATGAGGGATGGCTAATTTCCTCACAATAGCAGATTAGCAGATGAGGCAAGTCAGTGCAACTAGTCAAAAAATATTTATGTTTCAAGACTTATGTTTTTACATGCTATATTAACATACTGCCTCTGATCTGGCGGACTCACTAAACACAAATGCTTTGTTTGTAAATTATGTCTGAGTGTTAGAGTGCCCCTGGCTATCTGTAAATTTAACAAACAAGAAAATTGTGCCATCTGGTTTGTTTAATATTAGGAATTTGAAATGATTTATACTTTTACTTTTGATACTTAAGTATATTTTAGCAATTACATTTACTTTTGATACTTAAGTATATTTAAAACCAAATACTTTTAGGCTTTTACTCAAGTAGTATTTTTCTGGGTGACTTTCACTTTTACTTAAGTCATTTTCTATTAAGATATCTTTACTTTTACTCAAGTATGTCAATAGTGTACTTTTTCCACCACTGGTAACTAGTAACTGTAATGGATTACATTTAGGAAGTAACCTACCGAACCCTGTAGACAGGAAGAGAGAAGCTGAGGAACTCTGATATAATATAATGAAAACAGAAGCTTTGTTTCATGCTAACGTGACATGAACATGAACTCGCTACTTCCAGTAACATGTTAGAACTTTAATGCTGGCCCAAATTAATAATGCAAAAGGGGCCAGCTGGCCCAAATTAATAATGCAAAAGGGGCCAGCTGGCCCAAATTAATAATGCAAAAGGGGCCAGCTGGCCCAAATTAATAATGCAAAAGGTGCTAGCTGGCCCAAATTAATAATGCAAAAGGTGCCAGCTGGCCCAAATTAATAATGCAAAAGGTGCTAGCTGGCCCAAATTAATAATGCAAAAGATGCTACCTAGCCTTATTGAATAATGAAAAAAGGTGCTAGCTGGCCTTATTGAATAATGCAAAAGGTGCTAGCTGGCCTAATTGAATAATGCAAAAGGTGCTAGCTGGCCGTATTGAATAATGCAAAAGGTGCTAGCTGGCCTTATTGAATAATGCAAAAGGTGCTAGCTGCCCTAATTGAATAATGCAAAAGGTGCTAGCTGTCCTTATTGAATAATGCAAAAGGTGCTAGCTGGCCTAAATGCTCTCATGCATAATTTACCAGCAAAACATGTTGATGCTACAGACAGTAACATCTACAACAACTCTCAGAGACCTATCTAGCTTCATAACATGAGCGTAGAGTGTGTCAATGTTGAAGTCACAACCATTTTCCAGTGGTCTGTCTTAGAGCAGCAGAGGTAGTGGCATTACAGTATGTGTCTGATATCTAACACAGTACCTCAGTATGTCTGATAACTAACACAGTACTTCAGTATGTCTGATAACTAACACAGTACCTCAGTATGTTTCTGATAACTAACACAGTACCTCAGTATGTCTGATAACTAACACAGTACCTCAGTATGTCTGATAACTAACACAGTACCTCAGTATGTCTGATAACTAACACAGTACCTCAGTATGTCTGATAACTAACACAGTACCTCAGTATGTCTGATAACTAACACAGTACCTCAGTATGTCTGATAACTAACACAGTACCTCAGTATGTCTGATAACTAACACAGTACCTCAGTATGTCTGATGATAACTAACACAGTACCTCAGTATGTCTGATAACTAACACAGTACCTCAGCATGTTTCTGATAACTAACACAGTACCTCAGTGTGTCTGATAACTAACACAGTACCTCAGTATGTCTGATAACTAACACAGTACCTCAGTATGTTTCTGATAACTAACACAGTACCTCAGTATGTTTCTGATAACTAACACAGTACCTCAGTATGTCTGATAACTAACACAGTACCTCAGTATGTGTCTGATAACTAACACAGTACCTCAGTATGTTTCTGATAACTAACACAGTACCTCAGTATGTCTGATAACTAACACAGTACCTCAGTATGTCTGATAACTAACACAGTACCTCAGTATGTCTGATAACTAACACAGTACCTCAGTATGTCTGATAACTAACACAGTACCTCAGTATGTCTGATAACTAACACAGTACCTCAGTATGTCTGATCACTAACACAGTACCTCAGTATGTGTCTGACACCTGCATGGTAGGCTACACACAGTAGAGGTTTAATGTGGCCTGCTGTGTATCAAATAAACACTGGTTGAGTGGTTTAGTGATTAGCCTCATTTCAACACTAGCTGCCTGTCAAGCCACGAGTGTCTGTCTCTCACAGAGGGGAGGGTAGAGCAGAACGACGGGCACATACTGTTACATGTTCATGAACACATATATCCACATATCCACATGAGGCTCAGGTGATGTCAGTGAAAGGCAGGTATAAAAACTGTAGGCTGTAGGTTCCAGGCAGCATGGCTTACTGTAATGACTGGAGGCTGTGGCTCACTAGGCTCATGTAAGCCTGGCCAGGCAGGGGTCAGGGGGATTAGGGTCTGGGTCTGGGTCACTGTCTTCGGACAGGTGGGTCACTACTACAACATGGCGATGCTAGTCCCTCCAACAACTGGTGTAATAACTGACCAGCACTGTGCTCCAGACAACCCTTCTTCTTCTTCTTCTTCTTCTTCTTCTTCTTCTTCTTCTTCTTCTTCTTCTTCTTCTTCTCCTTTGCTATTGCTCCAGAGAGTCAGCAACTGGTAACCACACATGCTCCAACCCGACTTAGCTATTTTGTGACTTTTTATCCTTAATTGTTTTGTACAGAAAGCTCACACCATTATCACTTCTGACCGCCAAGTACTTTTGAACTACCACTAACCTTGACTTCAACCTTGATTTCGGCTCCTACTTCCCTTGTTGACACCAGACCCTACTCCATTGTTCGGGCTACCCAAGCGTCGCAAGCGAAGACACAGGAGGAGGGGTGGAGTCCTTGTTAGACTCAGACACAGAGAAAACCGTCCGGCACTCCCCTCCATTTCATTGGCAAATGTCCAGTCACTTGAGAAAAAGATGGATGAGCTCCGTTTGAGAGTTTCCTACCAACGGGACATAAAAAGCTGTAATATTGTTTGCTTTTCAGAAACTTGGCTGACGAGTGATATGGAGATAATACTCAAGGATTTCTCCATGCTTCGTCGTGACCGGACAGTGGACTCTGGCAAAACCAAAGGGGGAGGGGTGTGTCTTTTTGTAAACAACAACTGGTACACTGCTTCAAGTGTAAAGGAAGTCTTAAGCTTTTGCTTACCTGAACTAGAATACATGGTAAATTGCAGACCTTTTTATCTTCCAAGAGAGTTTTCATCTGTAATCATCACTGCTGTCTACATCCGAGACGAGAATGGCACTAAGCAGGCACTCAACGAGCTGTACAGGGCCATAAACAAACAAGGAAATTCTCACCCAGAGCCACGTTTCTAGTTGGTGGAGACATTAACGTGGGGAGACTGAAATGCATTTTACCGCACTTTTACCAACACGTCTCCTGTGCCACAAGAGGCGTTAACAGTCTGAACCACTTTTACTCTACCCACAGAAACACATACAGATGTAGGATCTTAATTTGATCACCCTGTTGCGGGAGAACCTTCCTGCAATGCAGGAAATATAAAACCTGTAGTGTATTTCAGGTTTAGAAAGGCTTCTGAAGTTTGTAATTTCCACTTAGAAATTTTAGACTTGATTTTCCCTTTTCCACAAAAATGTCCATTAATTATGTATAATTTTTTAGTCATTTAGCAGACGCTCTTATCCAGATCGACTTACAGTTAGTGAGTGCATACATTTTTCATAGTGGCCCCCCATGGGAATCGAACCCACAACCTTGGCGTTGCAAACGCCATGCTCTACCAACTGAGCTACACGGGGCCTAATCCACATAATAATTAACATTTCCTGTTGCATTTCCTGTTTCGGCAAATCAGACCATGACTCCATCCTCCTGCTTCCTGTTTACAAGAAAAAACTCAAACAGGAAGTACCAGTGGCGCGCTCAGTACGGAAGTGGTCTGGCAAAGCGGATGCTAAGCTACGAGACTGCTTCGCTAGCACAGACTGGAATATGTTCAGCGATTCATCCGATAACATTGAGGAGTTTACCACATCAGTCACAGGTTTCATCAATAAGTGCATCGATGACGTTGTTCCTACAGTGACCGTACGTACATACCCTAACCAAATTACAGGCTGCATCCGCACTGTGCTAAAGGTTAGAGCTACAACTTTCAAGGAATGGAACACTTATCCGGACGCTTATAAGAAAGCCCGCTACGACCTCCAACGAGCCATCAAATATTGAAAAGGTCAATATAGGACTAAGATAGAATCCTACTACACCGGCTCTGATGCTCGTCGGATGTGGCAGGGTTTGCAGACTATTACGGATTACAAAGGGAAACCCAGCTGTGAGTTGCCAAGTGACGCAAACCTCCCAGACAAGCTGAATGCCTTGTACGCTCGCTTGGAAGGAAACAACACTGAGCCAGGCATGAGAGCCCTTGCTGTCCCAGACGACCGTGTGATCTTGCTCTCCGTGGCCGATGTAAGACTTTTAAACAGGTTACCACTTGCAAGGCACTGGACCAGACGGAATACCAGGGCGTGATCTCAGAGCATGTGCAGACCAACTGGCAAGTGTCTTCAAGGACATTTTCAAAATCTCCTTGTCCCATTCTGTAATCCAACATGTTTCAAGTAGACCACCATTTTTCCTGTTCCTAGGAACTCAAAGGTAACCTGCCTAAATGACTATCACCCCGTAACACTCACATTTGTAACCATGAAATGCTTTGAAAGGCTGGTCATGGCACACATCAACACCATCATCCCAGACACCCTGGACCCACTCCAATTCGCATACCGCCCCAACAGATCCACAGATGACGCAATCTCTATTGCACTCCACACTGCTCTCTTCCACCTGGACAAGAGGACTACCTATTTTAGAAGGCTGTTCATTGACTACAGCTCAGCGTTTAACACCATAGTCCCCTCCAAGCTCATCACCAAGCTTGGGACCCTGTCAAACCAAATTGACCATGGGCATTACAATCGGGTCCATGCAGCTGTGCTCTGAATTGATGATTACTTGGGTGCTGCCAGCTGTGGGCATGTGGGCAGGATTGAAATAAACCCAACCCAAGGAAAACTGTTACGGTACCCTTCATTAAGTGACATGCAATTTTTTCCTATCATCTTGCAAATCTCAGTTTTGGACGAGACTGACTTTATGACCAAAATTATTCTATTTACATTTTGTAGTCAATTTTGACACTAGAATAAATGTTTCTGACTCATATCGATGCCACATAGGCCGTTTTCAAAATTAGAAGTTGCTTTTTAGGTGAAGTCGCTCGTTAAAGACGTCCTCCAGTGATTTTTGAACTTTTCCTGTTGAAAAGTGATATCCCAAGTATAAATATAGTACACACACTAAAGAGTAGAAAATATGTTGAGTTAAATAGTCTCAGTAGTCTCAGTACTTCCATACTTAACAACACGGTTATAATAGTGCTTATAAGTCTATCTACCTTTCCCCTAAAGGAAACCCAAGGACCTGTATACAGTCTGACCTTAATCCCCCTCTAATCAAAGACATGAGGGACAACTCACTTGTCCTTATATGAAGAAAAACATCACCAAGAGATGCTAAATAATCAAATAGTGTACCGTAATATAATGAGGCAAATACTGTAACCTTGCTCAGTCATGTTCTTCCTGTTATTAGAATCCCTTCCTCCCTGGCTGCCATTGGATTTCTATGAACCTATTGTTCTCAACCCTATTTCCAGCTACAACCATCTCTATCTCCACCTCCCTGACCATATCCTATATATGGTATATCTAGGGCCCAAGGTTTCTCCTGGTTAGGTCAGGTTCTCAGTACAAATTCCAAGCCATTTGGTTTTTATATGTATTACTTGATGTGAATTTGCTTCCATATCTATAGAATTAACACATTGAGGGAGTTAAATCGAAGTGACTTTCTTTCCCTTGCAGGGTTGAGCGGGACAAGGAGTTTGCCACAAAGAAGGCGGAGAGGGCCAACCTGAGGTCCTGCCTGAGGGACAAGTACCGCCTACCTGAGGTAAGAGCTGTCTTAAAGTAGGCCCAGGATTGGGAACTAACTGATTACATGTTACATGTAATCGGATTACCAAAAAAAATAAGTGTAATCAGTTATGTTAGCAGCAAAAATATTGTAATCAGATTAGAGATACTTTTGATTTGATATTTATTGGATTACTTTTAAATTAAAATGTCTGTTTTCTCAATGACATTCAACTCAGCATTGAAAAAAGGTGCAAGTTTAAGTTTGTCCCACCTGAGCGAGTCTGACCACAAGTCAGAAACCACTATGATGACACACCAAATGCATTTGATGGATCCTTTTTGTCTTCTTCTAATGCCTCTTAAAGGGAGAATAATCCAACAGTAACTGAAAGTAATCAGATTACGTTACTGAGGTTGGATAATCCCAAAAATACCTCACTGATTACAATTGTGTAACTAGTAACTGTTTTAATTTAGAAAGTAATTGAGCTGTGTAGGCCTGACTACTAACTTCAGATACGTGGAACTTAAAACACATGAGTTAGCCCTTTGCCCCCAATGAACACGTTGATCCCCTGTAGACAATGGAAACATGACTGTCAGAGCCCAATCAGTCCTGGACACATACAGTACCAGTCAAAAGTTTGGACACACCTACTCATTCAAGGGTTTTTCTTCATTTTTACTATTTTCTACATTGTAGAATAATAGTGAAGACATCAAAACTATGAAATAACACATATGGAATCATGTAGTAACCAAAAATGTGTTAAACAAATCAAAATATATTTTATATTTGAGATTCTTCAAAGTAGCCACCCTTTGCCTTGATGACAGCTTTGCACACTCTTGGCATTCTCTCAACCAGCTTCACCTGGAATGCTTTTCCAACAGTCTGCGGTCCAACTCATCCCAAACCATCTCAATTGGGTTGAGGTCGGGTGATTGTGGAGGCAAGGTCATCTGATGCAGCACTCCATCATCCTTCTTGGTCAAATAGCCCTTACACAGCCTGGAAGTGTGTTTTGGGTCATTGTCCTGTTGAAAAACAAATTATAGTCCCACTAAGCGCAAACCAGATGTAATGGCGTATCCTGCAGAATGCTGTGGTAGCCATGCTGGTTAAGTGTGCCTTGAATTCTAAATAAATCACAGACAGTGTCACCAGCAAAGCACCCCCACACCATCACACCTCCTCCTCCATGCTTCACAGTGGGAACCACACATGCGGAGATCATCCGTTCACCTACTCTGCGTCTCACAAAGACACAGCGGTTGGAACCAAAAATCTCAAATTTGGACTCATCAGACCAAAGGACACATTTCCACCGGTCTAATGTCCATTGCTCGTGTTTCTTGGCCCAAGCAAGTCTCTTCTTATTATTGGTGTCCTTTAGTAGTGGTTTGTTAGCAGCAACTCGACCATGAAGGCCTGATTCACACAGTCTCCACTGAACAGTTGATGTTGAGATGTGTCTGTTACTTGAACTGTGTGAAGCATTTATTTGGCCTGCAATCTGAGGTGCAGTTAACTCAAATGAACTTATCCTCTGCAGCAGAGGTAACTCTGGATCTTCATTTCCTGTGGTGGTCCTCAGGAGAGCCAGTTTCATCATAGCGCTTGATGGTTTTTGCGACTGCACTTGAAGAAACTTTGAAAGTTCTTGAAATGTTCTGGATTGACTGACCTTCATGTCTTAAAGTAATGATGGACTGTCGTTTCTCTTTCCTTATTTGAGCTGTTCTTGCCATAATATTGACTTGGTCTTTTACCAAATAGGGCTATCTTCTGTATACCACCCCTACCTTGTCACAACACAACTGATTGGCTCAAACGCATTAAGAAGGAAAGAAATTCCACAAATTAACTTTTATCAAGGCACACCTGTTAATTGAAATGCATTCCAGGTGACTACCTCATGAAGCAGGTTGAGAGAATGCCAAGAGTGTGCAAAGCTGTCATCAAGGCAAAGGGTGGCTGTCATCAAGGCAAAGGAATGCCAGACTTTGATTACAAAGTTTGATGACAAAATTTGCCCACGATGGAACGCCGCAACCCTTTCCTGTTCAAGTGAGCACAGCACAACAAGGTGGCGAATCGCATCTCTGCATGTCTGGCAGACATATCAGTGTGGATGTCGGATCACCACCTCAAGCTGAACCTCGGCAAGACAGAGTTGCTCTTCCTCCTGGGGAAGGACTGCCCGCTCCATGATCTCGACATCACGTTTGACAACTCCATTGTGTCCTCCTCCCAGAGTGCAAAGAACCTTGGTGTGACCCTGGACAACAACCTGTCGGTCTCCGCTAACATCAAAGCGGTGACCCGATCCTGCATGTTCATGCTCTACAACATTTGCAGAGTACGACCCTACCTTACACAGAAAGCGGCACAGGTTCTAATCCGGGCACTTGTCATCTCCCGTCTGGATTACTGCAACTCGCTGTTGGCTGGGCTCCCTGCCTGTGCCATTAAACCCCTACAACTTATCCAGAACGCTGCAGCCCGTCTGGTGTTCAACCTTCCCAAGTTCTCTCATGTCACCCCGCTCCTCCGCACACTCCACTGGCTTCCAGTTGAAGATCGCATCTACTACAAAACCATGGTGCTTGCCTATGGAGCTGTGAGGGGAACGGCACTTCCTTACCTTTCATGCTCTGATCAGACCCTACACCCAAACGAGGGCACTATGTTCATCCACCTCTGGCCTGCTAGCCCCCCTACCTCTACGGAAGCACAGTTCCCGCTCAGCCCAGTCAAAGCTATTCACTGCTCTGGCACCCCAATGGTGGAACAAGCTCCCCCACGACGCCAGGACAGCGGAGTCACTGACCACCTTCCGGAGACACTTGAAACCCTACCTCTTTAAGGAATACCTGGAATAGTATAACAGTAACCCTTCTACCCCCCACCAATTTGTAAGTCGCTCTGGATAAGAGCGTCTGCTAAATGACTTAAATGTAAATATAAATGCACTTTGAAGAATCTCAAAAAATATATATATTTTGATTTGTTGAACACTTTTTTGGTTACTACATGATTCCATATGTGTTATTTCATAGTTTCACTATTATTCTACAATGTAAAAATGTAAAAAAATAAAGAAAAACCCTTGAATGAGTAGGTGTGTCCAAACTTTTGACTGGTAGTGTATATACTGAACAAAAATATAAATACAACATGCAACAATTTTAACGATTTTACTGAGTTACAGATCATATAAGTAAATCAGTCAGTTGAAATAAATAAATTAGGCTCTAATCTATGGATTTCACATGACTGGGCAGGGGCTCAGCCATTTGTGGCCTGAGAGGGCATAGGTCCACCCACTTGGGAGCCAGACCCAGCCAATCAGAATGAGTTTTCCCCCACAAAATGGCTTTATTACAGACATAAATACTCCTCAGTTTCATCAGCTGTCCGGGTGGCTGGTCTCAGACAATCCCTCAGGTGAAGAAGCTGGATGTGGAGGTCCTGGGCTGGCGTGGTTACACGTGGTCTGTGGTTGTGAGGCCGGTTGGACGCACTGCCAAATTCTCTAAAATGACTTTGGAGGTGGCTTATGGTAGAGAAATTAACATTAAATATCTGGCAACATCTCTGGTGGGCATTCCTGCAGTCAGCATGCCAATTGCATGCTCCCTCAAAACTTGAGAAATCTGTGGCATTGTGTTGTGTGTTAAAACTGCACATTTTAAAGTGGCCTTTTATTGTCCCCAGCGCAATGTGCACCTGTGTAATGATCATGCTGTTTTATCAGCTTCTTGATATGCCACACCTGTCAGGTAGATGGATTATCTTGGCAAAGGAGAAATGCTCGCTAACAGGGATGTAAACAAATTTGTGCACAAAATTGGAGAGAAATCAGCTTTTTGTGTATATGGAACATTTCTGGGATCTTTTATTTTAGCTCATGAAACACGGGACCAACACTTTACATGTTGCGTTTTAATGATTTTTTAAGTATATACATTTTCGACTATGTGTCTGTTTCTCAGAGTGGCCAGGACGAAGCCATGGTGAAGATGGCGGGAGATGACCTGGACCTCCCTGAGGACCTAGCCAAGATGGTGGACGAGGATGAGGAGGAAGAGGAGGTGAACGACTCACTACTAGGGCAGCTACATCAACTGCAGAACATGGACATGGACCAGCTGAAGACCAAAGCCCAGACCACCATGACAGAGATACAACAGGTGGCTGAGGAGAAGTGTGTCGTCATGTGATGAGTGATCATCAGACTTCTTCTACCCATTGATCTTTCTTCAGCAATTCAGCAGTCCATCGTGTGAACTTCCACGACAAGTGGGATTTACCCAACAAGCACTAAGTCTTTGTTATCATTTTACAATATTGTATGTTTATCTTCACAGAACCACCTAATCTTTCTGTTATTCAGTTGCCTCAGAAAATAGGAATAGCTGAGGCGCTGTGAAATCATACTATATATTGTTGCTGATGATGATCACACGGCATTTTGACTGGTACACTCAATATGGCCGCCGGTCCACCCATCACAAAATGTTGACTTCAGTGGGAATATCCGTTTTAGTGATGATATTTCTATGTATCCACATCCGAACCTGCTGAAACAGAGTCCAGACTGAGTACTTTAACTTGCACACTAATAATTCGATATTAAACTGATTATGACAGTAGGCCGAGTATGGAAAAAGTAATGAAAACACCTTCCTCTGCTTAACTTAATCGGCGTAAGGTATAAATCGAAGGAGGCATACACCGATTACAACACCTAGTTTTTTTAGCATTCTTTCAAATTGTTAGGACATGTAAACAGCTTAATCGACATTCCAGCGGCATTCCAGCGGCGTTCCAGCGGCGTTCCAGCGGCATTCCAGCGGCGTTCCAGCGGCATTCCAGCGGTGTATTTGATCTGCTCATGTACCAGCACTGGTAGCACAAGCTTTCCTCTTATGCCCGAGTACAGTGAGTTCGGAAAAACTGAAAGTATGCATCTTAGAAGTAGTTTACGCATACAAACTTTATATATATATACGAACTCAGAATCAAATAGGCTTTGCAAAAATAACATGGTCTCTGTGGTAGAATGTTTATTTTGATTCATGATTTTATGCATTAATACCAAGTCCCAACAGTAAACAGGATTATTAGGGAACTCGTTTATCTTGGAAAGCATGTAAACGTTTTAAACAAACTATTATATTAATCTGACTATCCATAATAATTGTATTATTGTGTGCATGTAACCATGCTCACTGTCAATACATAAAAATACAAATAAATTATACTAGAATATAAGATGGTCTGTCTATAGTTAAAAGCATACATTGTCAGATTTCTTAGCAATTTTTCTTTGTCTGCTGTGTAGTAACAAAAAATAAAATACATAACTCTGAACAAGTCTTATTGCTTAAGTATACTGTATAGATAAACTGAAGGCTATATGTGTTGTCCAACATGTAAAGTGATGACAGTTGTTTGCTGTGTACAGGTCAGGGGTGTCAAACATGTGGCCGGCGAGCCCATTCAATCCGGCCCGCGGGTGGTTTGAGTTTATAGGTGATGGGAGGGAATAGTTGATGAGTGTTGAGGGGTGAGAGGTGAGGGGTAAGGGGGTGAGGGGTAAGGGGTAAGGGTAAGGGGGTGAGGGGTGTAAGGGGTGGTGAGGGGTAAGGGGGTAAGGGGGGGTGAGGGGTAAGGGTAAGGGGGTGAGGGTAAGGTAAGGGTAAGGTAAGGGGGTGAGGGGTAAGGGGGTGAGGGGTAAGGGGTGAGGGGGGTGAGGGGTAAGGGGGTGAGGGGGGTAGGGGGTAAGGGGTGGGGTAAGGGGTAAGGGGGTGGGGGTGAGGGGTAAGGGGGTGAGGGGTAGGGGTAAGGGGGGGGTGGGGGTGGAGGGTGAGGGGTAAGGGGGAGGGGTAAGGGGGTAAGGGGGAGGGGTAGGGGTAGGGGTGAGGGGTAAGGGGTGGAGGGGGTAAGGGGGTAAGGGGGTGAGGGGTAAGGGGTGAGGGGGTAAGGGGGTGAGGGGGGTAAGGGGGTAAGGGGGTGAGGGGTGAGGGGTAGGGGGTAGGGGGTAAGGGGGTAAGGGGTGGGTAAGGGGTAAGGGGGTGAGGGGTAGGGGTGAGGGGGGTGAGGGGTAAGGGGTGGGGGTAAGGGGTAAGGGGTGGGTGAGGGGTAGGGGGTAAGGGGGGGTGGTAAGGGGGTAGGGGTGAAGGGGGGTAAGGGGTGAGGGTAAGGGGGTGAGGGGTAAGGGGTGAGGGGTGGGTAAGGGGGTAAGGGGGGGGTGAGGGGTAAGGGGTGAGGGGTAAGGGGGTGAGGGGTGAGGGTAAGGGGTAAGGGGGTGAGGGGTAAGGGGGGGGTAAGGGGGTGAGGTAAGGGGTGAGGGGTAAGGGGGTGAGGGTAGGGTAAGGGGGTGAGGGGTAAGGGGTAGGGGGTGAGGGGTAAGGGGGGTAAGGGTGATAAGGGGTAGGTGGGGTAAGGGGGTGAGGGGGTAAGGGTAGGGTGAGGGGTAAGGGGGTGAGGGGTAAGGGGTAAGGGGGGTAGGGGGTGAGGGGTAGGGGTGAGGGGGTAGGGGTGTAAGGGGGTGAGGGGAGGTAAGGGGGTGAGGGGTAAGGGTGAGGGGGTAAGGGGTGAGGGTAAGGGGGTGAGGGGTAGTAGGTAGGGGGGTGAGGGGTAAGGGGGTGAGGGGTAGGTAGGGTGTAAGGGGGTGAGGGGTAAGGGGTGGGTGAGGGGAGGGGTGAAGGGGGGGGGAGGGGTAAGGGGGGTGAGGGTAAGGGGGGGGGTAAGGGGGTGAGGGGTAAGGGTGGGTGAGGGGGGAGGGGTAGAGGGGGTAAGGGGGTGAGGGGTGAGGGGGTGAGGGGTAAGGGGTAAGGGGGTGAGGGGTAAGGGGGTGAGGGGTAGGGGGGGTAAGGGGTGAGGGGTAAGGGGGTGAGGGGTAAGGGGTGAGGGGTAAGGGGTGAGGGGTAAGGGTAGTAGGGGTAAGGGGGTGAGGGGTAAAGGGGTAAGGGGGTGAGGGGTAAGGGGGTGAGGGGTGTAAGGGGTGAGGGGTAAGGGGTAAGGGGGGTAAGGGGGTGAGGGGTAAGGGGGTGAGGGGTAAGGGGTGAGGGGTAAGGGGTGAGGGGTAAAGGGGTGAGGGGGGGTGAAGGGGTGTAGGGGGGGGGTGAGGGGTAAGGGAGGGTAGGGTAAGGGGGTGAGGGGTAAGGGGGGGTAGGGGTGAGGGGTGAGGGGTGAGGGGTAAGGGGGTGAGGGGTTGAGGGGTAAGGGGGTGAGGGGTAGGGGGTGAGGGTAAGGGGTTAAGGGGGTGAGGGGTAAGGGGTGGTAAGGGGGTAAGGGGTGAGGGGTAAGGGGTGAGGGGGTGAGGGGTAAGGGGTGAGGGGTAAGGGGGTGAGGGGTAAAGGGTGAGGGGTAAGGGGTGAGGGGGTGAGGGGTAAGGGGGGAGGGGGAAGGGGGTGAGGGGTAGTAAGGGTAAGGGGTGAGGGTTAAGGCGTTAAGGGGGGTGAGGTGTAAGGGGGTGAGGGGTAAGGGGTAAGGGGGTGAGGGGTAAAGGGTGAGGGGTAAGGGGTGAGGGGGTGAGGGGTAAGGGGTGAGGGGTAAGGGGGTGAGGGGTAAAGGGTAAGGGGTGAGGGGTAAGGCGTTAAGGGGGTGAGGGGTAAAGGGTAAGGGGTAAGGGGCAGTCCCACGCAAAATAATTGCCAGCCGGCGAGACACACGAGATTGAACTTCACTAAAATGTAGGGAATCTTTCCTCCTACTGGGCACACACTGGTTGAATCAACATTGTTTCCACGTCATTTCAATGAAATTATGTTGAACCAACGTGGAATAGACATTGCATTGACGTCTGTGCCCAGTGGGCTGGCTTTAATTTAAACAGATACAATTTTCCCCCTACTGTGGAAATTGAGATTGAATCAACATCATAATCATAAGAGTCCCTTTCAATGCAACAAACCAAATCTAACTTTAAAACTGAGTTGGTGATTTTGTCGTAGGCTGAGCCCACTGAGGTGCTCATCAGAGTAGGGAGCGGTTTTTCCATCACCTGCTAGTAGTTTTTCCATAACCCTCAGCTGTCAAAGAGTAGCCTAGATTCCTATTTGAGATCACAGAGCAGAGCCACGTGTAGCCGCATGTGCACATTTGTTGAGTTGCTAGGCAACCCTGTTCGTGGAGTACCACAGGTACTGCAGGATTTTGTTCCAACTAGGGACTACCTCTGACCAACGGAGCTAATTGATCAGTTCAGTGATTGCCTAAATTCAACACAGCTGGCCTGCCTGTGGTACTCCAGGACCAGGGTTGTCTACCCCTGTGCTAGTTAGTGAGTTACTAGCCTGGTTATTGATACTTTTGGTCAGCAATGGGAGAGTGATTGCTTCCTACAAGAGCAAAAAACTTGTACATACCTAACTATCTTTAAAAAAGCGAGTCAGGTAAAGAGCTTTTTTTGTCTTAAAGGGGCAGTGTCCTATTTTGACACAGGCTTGAATAAGCTAAGTAGCCAATAGGCAGAGGGTAGCATAATTTGTCTGATTCTCTGTTATAATGGTATGGGAAAAATAATTTATTTTATTTTGTAAAGTGGTTTCTTGCATCCAACAGCACAACAACATTTTCAGTCACCTCCTTGTCCGAAGGACAAGTGGATAAACAGGTTATGGTTCTCTGTATGATAACAATCATGGCATAACATGAACATCCGCCAAATGCGGGTAGATTTAAGTATTGGGGGGTAAGAATGTCTATTTCAATAGCCATGTTGGCGGCAATGTTTCCTCGCCCGCAGTAGCCCCGAGACTGCCTTGAGGCTCCCAGGGACTGCCTTGAGGCTCCCAGGGACTGCCTTGAGGCTCCCAGGGACTGCCACGCAGAAATATCATCCCACAGAGAGAAGCACGAGGTTGAACTTCACTCAACTTTCTAGAGCAGTGGTCAACAACCGGTCGATTGCGGTCCACTGGTCGATCTCCAAGGCATTCCTAGTCGATAGCCAAACATTTCTGTAAAAACAACAACAACAACAAAGCCTTGTGTTCCATTTTTTAAAATTAGTCTCGGGCTGTTGGCGGCAGGTGCACCTTAATCAGCTGTGCGCCGGGTAGGCAAACTGTTGCCATTTTTAACCATTTCATGTCTCTTAAGGTACCAACTCTGCCTTCCCGCAGGCCCAGAGAGCAAATCAAGTGCACTATAGGCCTACCGCTGGCCAATCGGATGGCTCAGATGACCGTGTCTGCAGTAACGTAGCAGG